TTTTTTTTTGAAAAAAGAATATTTATGGCCACAAATTAAGATAGCCTGGACAAATAAAAGTATTTCTAAGTCCTGAGGGAAGAAGGAAAAAAATTGTATCCTAGTAAAGATGAAATGGTAAAGTTAGGCATTAAATCACGGATAACAGGAAAATGAATTGCTAAATAAAGATCAAATTTAAAGAAAAAAGGCAGAAAAAGTATTAGTATTGTGGCAGTAGGGGGTATTTCTTCTGCTTTTAAAGGGAATAAAGAAAATTGCAGGACGTATGCAGCACAGAAATGCACTCGTAACAGGCACTCTCAAATGCCTGGGCTTCTCCATGTGTATGAGGGTCTGGAGATGCAACCCCTGCCAAAAGGGCAAGCAGGGAATTGCCATTTGTCCAGGAAGTCACCTGTGCACCAAGGCATTGCTGGCTGCCATACACCATAGCAGGGTCTTGAATAACAGTCGTGGGGAAGAAAAAGATGGCAAAATGCAGTAATACTGGTAGAAAAGTATAGGGAGGAGCCACAGAAATTAAACATTGAATGCGTACAGCCGGACAATGGTATAAGTTTGGGTAAAACAGCAATATCACAGAGAAGAACATTTTTATATGGTCACAATCATGGTGGCAAAATGGCTGGAAATCAAACTTGAGTGATTTTTCAAGGGTGGCTGATGGTGCCACATATTTTGAAGCCAAGAAATACCCTTGTAAATATGATAAAATGAAAATATTCCTTTGAGACTTGAATGTTTCAATTTCTTTAACCTATGCAATTTCTTTCTTTATTTTTTTTCCTTCCCCATTTGTCAACACAGTAGTATTCACACTGAGAAGGTACTTGTGACCCAAAGAATTATTAACTGAAAATCATCATGGTGAAATGGGCATGAAGGAAGGTTAGTACTTTTGGAGAGCGAGCCTGACATCTCTGGGGGTGACACCAGAAGAACTAGGACGATGTAGGGAGAGGTTATTGCAGATGTTTCAAGTGAGTCACACTGCCAAATTTGAAATCACTAGATGATGCTGCAGGTTCTGTTGGCCTTCAGAAAACTTAACAATTTTCAAGTTTCTACACAAGCTTCCTGAACTGTAGCTGGACACAGCTTTGCAGTCGGGAAGATGTTTTTGGTGGAACCAACTGGCTCACTGTATTCATGGTTTACTGGGCAGGTAAAGCATACTTCTACATTATCTCTTTGAAAGAGGAACAGGACACAACCTCTGCCAGCATTTTTTGTGAACTATTCTATTAATACCAATCAAATTGAGAAAATGATCAAATGAAATTGCATTTTGAGCATCATAAGCTGTGTAATGCCTATTCTGTTAAATTGAGGCCCATAATTGCTTCTCTACTGAAAAGATACAACAAAGACAGCAATCATGGCATGTCATTATCCCAGACTAGAAAACCGGCCTTTGCAGTGGGGACTTCAAAGGCTCGTGGTTCTCGAATTGCATTTGGCTGCTATTGTGGAAGCGCTGGCAATCTTGATGAGGTGTTTACACTGAGGGAAGGCGCAGTGCACAGAGAGTCTGAGTGCCTTGGTCTAGAGCCATTAAAAAATTGTACATTATGTTCCTTGCTTTGAAGTAAGGGGCTTGTAGGTAGGAAAGCAACTCATATTGAGTACAGCTGAGCTAGATTGGGCTGCTACTTCTCTCTCTCTCACTCATGGGGTTCTTAAAGAATCAGGCAACGCTGCAAAGAACTTGATGTTTTAAAAATGCTATATATATGTGTGTGTGTATATATATTAGTAAACATGGAGATCAACGGGAGATCAAGGTATATTTGGGTACATACAGATTACTATCTTTATGCACAGAGGTAGTTGTAAATCCTGCAAAAACAAACCTTACACAAACATTATACCCAATGTTACGTTAATTAACTGAAGTTATATGTAAAGTGATTTAAGGTAAATGCAATTTCATAACCACAACACCTGTCTGCTAACTGTGATCCTATCAATAATGCTCCAATATTCTGCAAAGCTCAAAATAGTCCATTTTAGAGGAGGAAAAAGGCATTCAGAAAGTGTTCCACATGTCTGACTTGCTTTTCTGCTTACCTGCATTTTTGCTACATTTTTTTCAGGCGAGATAACTGGACTAACACAGAGAACTTAACTGCTGAACTGAGAATCATGAGCAGTGAGTCAAGGGTTGGATTATATGAGTCTGTTATTGTCTAAAGATAGTTTTTAAAGTGCTTTCTCCCCTGAAGCCCTCGTGTGCCACTATCTTTCACAGAAGCACCATGTTACCCTCACTAGTGCTTGCTGTCTGTGGCTCTGTGAACCTGGTGCATCCTAAGGCTTTGGACACCACTTTGCTTCAGGTGAAAAGGGGGAATAACTGAACTCACTGCGATAAGGGAGCTATATATGATGCCAGAGGCCTTTTATAAAATTCCCCCATCCGTTACATCCACAGCAGAGATACTTGTTGCTATTAGACACTTGGCAGAGGGTCTACACAATGAAGTTCTGATCCCTGGCTTCCATGCTTTCATATGAAACATCTTCAGAATTCCCCAAATAGTAAACATAATCATATCAACATAGCTTTAATTAGCATCAATCTACACTAATTATTTTCACCATCAACTAAATTATAACTGAAATAAACAAGAGCTCTTAATAGCTCTGCTAGAAAAGAGCTTGTCCACTGTTGCACTCATTGTAATGTTGTCTGCAGATGCCCTCTAGTGTTGTGTCAACTGTTCATTAGCCTCCAAGAATGTGGTACTCGAAAGTCTCTGCAGTTTTGTAAATTAAGTATTTTCTGTGCTACAACTCAGTGTAAAAATTCAATTACTTCCACCTTCCCCCATTATGCATAATGTTTAGCAGCTAAAAGCAATAAAATCATGTACAAACTGTTTTTGGAACTTGAATCACCTTTTAACTTAAATCTTAAAATAAATTCAGCTTAAGATTTGCCCTCCCAGTGCAACTACTATGCATTACTACCATTTATTGGTGGACTTCAAATATGAATTTTGGCCTGGCTGCTGTAATAACTGATCATTCGCCAGTTGGAAATAATTTAAATCACTGCAGGATAGATGGTAAATCTAGTTACCTATCATGCAAACCTGAAAGCTCATACAGACATTCTGTTTTAACTATAGGCAGTACATCAGTCGCTATTAATTAGAGGATTTGTAGAAATGTCCTACCTGTTCTTGAAGACCTTCCCCTTGCTTTTTACAGTATATTTGAAGATAGGAATTTCCCATGCGTGTACCTAAACCTAAGGTCCGTTTATTTTTTGCCACAAAATCCTTTTTTACTCTTCCTGGTTTACCTTGAATCCGAGGAGGAAAAGCACTGCGGAACGTGCTGGGGCTATCTTTGACACGACAGTCCTTTTCTGATTCCTTCCCTTTAACATGTAA